ATACAAGGACGACAACCTAAATAAAAATAAATAAAAAAAACTACCAAACAAAAACAAAGTACGAACCTAAACTACCCCTAAACTTTAGTAGGGTTATTTGTATCTAATTTTTCATTATTAATTTTTTTTTATATTTTTTGAAGATTCACCTAATTTTTATGTACACACGCTCCAAATTTCAGATCATTTCGATTTGTAGAAAAAAATTAAAATTCAAACACTACTGGACATCCAGGATCGTTGGATCGGCCCAGATACAATCTGAACAATTGACATTTAATGTAGCTGTGCGCCATTGGGCTGACAGGATCTTTTTCCTATATGTATATGTGTATATATATATGGGAAAAGTTTATATAGAGACGAGGCTCTAAACAATCAAATTTGAGCCTACCTCAAAACTTTCACTAGAAGAGGTTGTTTTGATGCTCAAATATCTTCAAATTGATCATCTCGACATCAAGATGCATGGATATGAGAAAAAAATGGATTTCAATGTATTTTGTAGCGCATATTTGGAACGCCAATTTTCAATATTTTCAAGTGTTCATAGATCTATCAGTCTACGCTATTTTTGAAGCTTTAAACTTTATAAATAAATATAAAAAGATATTTTAAGGCTATCAAAAATATTTCCAGTATTGAAATCACATTTCGTGAGACTATTTAAAGGTAGGCTCTAATTTGATTGTTTAGAGCCTAAGCTACATACAAACCGCACCTATATATATATATATATATAGGGTGCGGTTTGTATATAGCAAAGGCGCAGAAGACCTCTGTAGAAAACGCTTTTGATTCTGATTCTCTTCTTTCCCTCCCATTCCTCTTTTCACGTCATCTCTTCGGATAAAAACATAATCTGATTGATTGTATTCTTTGCGGAAAGCTTATGGAATGAAAATTTATATAAAGATCAATGATCCATCATGTATGGAGGGATATGCAGGGAGCAGGCAGCGAGAATCGAACCCGTATCGTTAGCTTGGAAGGCTAGGGGCTATAGCCGAGGATGAGGAAAGGATGCGGAATGCCCCATTGCGTGCGAGTGAGAGGAATGCCAACGACGAAGATGGCGAGGGAGAAAATAAACGGTGAATATAAGAAGAGCGAAATCCATTTTAAATTTCACTAAAATATACGAAACCCTTTCGCTGAAATTGACGACCTGCCAGTTTGCAGCTCTCCCTTCCCCGTGACAGAGGCTCTCACTCTCTCTCTTTTGTTGCTCTCTCTCCCCCACTGCTCTCTCTCTTCTCCCAGCAACAACTCGCCATTTCGCCCAACCTTCTTTCTCACCATTTCGCCCAAATATCCTTGGTAGCAGAGAACAACACCAACCCTCTCTCTCACCATTTTGCGCAAATGTACTTCGTAGCAGAAAATAGCACCAACCTTCTCTCTCACCATTTCGCCCAAATATGTCTGGTAGCAGAAAGCAACATGATCTAAGTGTTCGTCCAACACTCTCACTCTCTCTTCATTTCGTCGAACCCTCTATCTATCTCATCATTTTCCTTCAACTAGCTCCATTTCACCCAACCCTCCCTCTATTTCGCCCAACCCTCTCTCCATTTCGCCCAGCCCTCTCTCTTATATCACCATTTTCCTTCAATGGGACCCATATGTATTTTTTTCAGCAGCTCGCTCTCTCTCTCCTGACAGCAGCACATCATAGCCCTCACTTGCTCTCCATTTCTTAGCACAGGATCAGGTATGGAACCTAATACCCCAAAATCTTGGTTTGCCTTCATTTGCCTACAGAAACCTACATGCATCTCTCTCTCTATCTAACCAGTAACAGTCGCCATTTTCCCATATTCTCTCTATCTCGGTAGGGATCCCCTTCCCTCTCAATCTCTTCTTTCTCTCTCGGCAGCTCTGTTGTCTCTCTCTCTTCCTTCCCTGTTCTCTGTGCTCTCTCTCTTGATCTCGTCCTCTCTCTTTCTCGGTAGAGATCACTCTTTTCATCTACTCGCCTCTCTCTTTATCTCATTAGGAATTAGTGAGCTTTCTTGATCCATCTGGAAGCAAACCAATGTTTCTCTGAATTAAGAAAGCACTGGCGCCCCCATCTCTCTCTCTCTCTGACCATCATAGCAAAGGGAATTTTCACTGTTTTTATATTCGCCGTTTAATTTCTCCCTCGCCATCTTTGTCGTTGGCGTTCCTCTCACCTGTAAGCGATGGGGAGTTTCTCATCCTTTCCATATATATATAACAGCTACAGTAAACGTCCAACTGCCCATATTAAACCTGGGCCTTTCTAAGGGTCCCGACTGCATTTCGTATTTGATTTTGAATTTTTTTTTTTTAACAAATCCAATTCATTTGAAATTTTGAGTGCTACTCTTGAAAAATAAGTGAAGGATACCAAGCATAATCGAGGGCTATAATTGGTTATAAGTAATTCAAGAATTGATACAGGTGGTAGTCCAGAGTTTTTGGTACTATTGTGATTTATTTATTTATTTATGCTGAACTCGATATGAATATGTTGAGCCCAATTGGATGCCATCTTTCCTGCGGAGGCACTCATGCAGTCCCCTGATCTTTTTATATGCAATGATTGATATTTTTGGGACATTACTATTTAAAGCCTCCAAAATCTTTTAGTTCCATCCTTAGATTCAGTTTCTTCTCTTAAAACCATTATAAATTGAGTATTTAGGTTCTCTGTACCAGATGATAGCCTAGAAGATTGAGCGTGATTCAATTTCAGTCTGCTAAGTAGTTTCAGGGATTTCTATTCTGTGCATTATGACATTTGTAGGCTTTTCACTTGTTTCATAAATTCTGTTTACTTCCTTGAAGTCTCCTGCAATTTTGTGTTACTCAGGTATGCAATTTCATAGTGGGGTTGTTATTCCTTGACTTGGTGGAGAAATTTGGAATTGGTTCCATCTATGCAAGCTTTGGTGCTGTTTCCCTGTTGTCAGCCATGTTTGCAAAATATTTTATTATCGAGACAAAAGGGCGATCACTTGAGGAAATAGAACTCTTTCTGAACCCAAACTCATTACCCAAAGATCATTGATTCTTTTAAATCCTGGAGCCGCATTAGAGGCTTGTTATGGAACTAAGCCTTTGTATATATTTTCAATATTCCTTATTGCAATTTTTGAGTATCTTCAAGAATAATTGGTTCTTTGAAACTATCGAAAATTCAATAATTGATGTCTGGTTCAAATTTTTCCATAGCTTTTATAATTAACATTGCTAGAGATGATTAACATTGCGATGATTCGCCTTTCAAAATTGTTTCACATATCAGGCCTATAAACTTTTAAGTGATTTTAAATATTTCAAGTTGACAACCCAGAGCTTAGTGCTTCGTAATGGAAGTTTCACTTGTTTGGATGTAGACATTAGAATTTAACTTGAAATTTGTCGTCGTTGTTACATACGAGATTACTAAGCTGTCCTGGTGTCCGCCTAAATCTGGATTTTTTTTTTGAATTTTTTTGCCTAAATCTCGTGCTTTAGTGTCTCTCTTGCCTGAGTTCTACCGGACCCCAATACAGGACAAAAAAAAACGAAAAAAGAAAGAAAAGGAAATGAGGAAAAATCAGAATAAACTTAAAAAGTAAAACTACATCAGAAAATGTATATCATGAAATGAACAATATATATATATATATATATATACTGTTATTACCTTAAAAATAGTCAAAAATATCAAGAAAATCAAGAATACGGATTATTAAGTTTCAATTTCCAAAATTGGGTAAAAAACTCCCTAGTTCTTTTATCTTTAAAATGCAAGAAAATATGATTATTTGTCGGATCTACTATTACCAATGGGTAGATCTAGCAATTTTGTAGCTACAAATGAATTTTGGCTTGGGACTTAACTTGGGGCTCCTGTGATGACATAAGAAAAGTTCGTCTTTTTTTTTTTTGGAGAGGGGGGGGAGGGGGTCTGTTTGGATTTCTAGTCCCCTTCTATTGTCAATCGCAATGTACAGTACGCTCAGTACTACAGGGACTCGTCCAAGCAATATAGAACTCGTGCTAGTGCCGGATATCTACAAGACGAGTGGGTCCCTATAGTTCTTGCCCGAATACTTGAGTGGGTCCATTAGAACTCGCGTTTTCCACTGGCCAGCCGGGTGACTCAACCAAAACCAAGTCCAAGTCCAAGTCAATTTGGCAGAGTTTTAAAGAAGGTGAGGTTTGTGTAAGGCATCATCTTTATACTTAAGTAAAACGCATCTTTGAGTTTGATACGGAGATGTGGTTCGGGTGTCAGAAATCTTTTGATGACTTAAAAATCTGTTTTTATCTATAGTCATGAATTTTAAAACTTAAAAATGACACAAATCGAGAAAGTCTATGATCACTTGAAAATAGATAATCCAAATAATTTGTTACAAGATGTATTATTTTTAATACTTGAAATTCTTTTTTTTCTTTATATCCATACATGTTGGAATTAGATGATCAAATTGAAGAGTTTTCCAATATTGTACTCCTTTCTATCAACAATATAAAATTGACACCTGACCCTTTTCAGATTGATTCTGCATGATCCTTAATGGTATTAATTCGGTTGGCTCCCTTGCACTAATCACAAGTTGGCAGCCCACGAATGAAGTTGACGTGAGCGTTATGACACACCTCGTGGCCAAGCCATAAAAACATCCAATTTTTATTCTTTAAAATAAGACGTGTTTCGACGGTCTACTATCACAACTAGTAGTACTTTTCTTAACTACTAGTTAGCATTTTAGTGAGACATTGTAAGCTCGTCTTTTTTTTTTGTTTCTAAACAAAGGTTAATAATTTTTTATTAATGTATCTCAATAACACAAGCTTACAGGGGTTATATATTGCTCGTTATACGATCAACAGAAGAGACCTCCCTCTTGGCTAACATGTGTGCAATATCATTCTGCAAACATACTGGAATACAATCTCCATCCCATTGTAAATAGCTATCACTTTAAGCCACTCACGTCTTATGGGCCTAGGAGGTTTCCATACCTTATTGCATCAGTTAATCCCAAGGAGGTTTCCATACCTTATTGCACCAGTTAATAACGTTCAAGGAGTCTCTTTCTACAAAGCAGCAGCAACTTAAGTACCGCACTTTAACCAATTAAGGCCATATAGCAACACACAAATATCTGTCTAATTTAATATAGCATCACCACAAGGGCAAAAACAACCAAAAAGTATCTCACCACAACTGTCCCATATTACTCCCCCTATACTTGCTGGTCCTGGATTCCCCAGAGCTGCTATCAAAATTAAATTTAACGCTACCTTCAATAGTGGGCTCCACCTATCCATAGGCCTCACCTTGATTGATGACTGCCAATAACATACTTCAAGTTTAAGATAATTTCAAGAAATGCCCTCAACCTCTTGAGTCATCCAAATCCATGACCAAATGCATAATTCTGCCTTTCACTCTCTCACTCATCTTAAGCTAACTCCCTCAAAACTTCCTCTATTTCGCTCCATCCACACTTCCCATAACAAGGCTGCTCTAAACATTTCCCATACAATCTTCCCTCTTCGAAAGAACAAAGAGAGAAAGATGCTCTAGAATATGAATTGTATTCTGTGGTAATATCATATCATAACCACCATATGAGCAGCCCACGTCCATAGTCAGACTTGTATAATCACAATGGAAGATCTTCATTTTCTTTATCCCTTATGCAAAGTAAGCATACAGTGACCATAATCTTGCCCCTCTTTATCAAATTATCAACTTTTATTGTTCTCTCTTGCATTAAAACCCATAAAAAAAACTTGAATCCTTAAAGGAATATGCCACTTATAGTTTTGTGCATTTTTTATCTGTTCATCTTGCTCTATTATGAAACAACAATTTATAAGTAGATTTTACAGAAAACACACAATCATTATTCTTTTCCCAAACCACTTCATCTCCTGCATCACTTGGAATATAGACCTCTCGCAATTCAATTAACAATTGGGCTAATTGTGAGATAATTGAATATTCCAACTTAAAAATCCATTTTGTCTTGAGAAAACTTTGTTCACCTTCCCCAAAGGATCTACAACTTTAGAAAAAACATAGGAAAATCTCTCTTTCAATAGCCTGTCTCCTAACCACTTACGAAACCAAAAATTCACAGTATTCCCTTGCCCAAATATCCATCTAGGGTTTTCCATGATAAATGCTTTGCAATTAGAGATGCCATTCCATATCTGTGATTGATTGTTTAATCTGGTTCCACTCTTAATGAGATTGGTAGTACCATTGACCCCATACTTTGTTGTCAAAATCTTTCTCCAAAGTTGACTATCATCAGTTATGGATCTCTGCCACCACTTCGCCAGAAGAGCCTTATTTATGGTTTTCAACCTTCTAATTCCTAGGTCACCTTCTATTTTTGGAAATACAAACCCTATCCCAATTAACCAAATGGTATTGTTTTCCTCCTTCTAATGTCCCACAATAAACTATGCGTCAATCTTTCTATAGTCTTAATAACAAAACTAGGCATCACCTACAAAGACATTTGGTAAATGGTAATCCACCCTTCCAAAGAAAGAACTTTGATCTTCCACAGATCGAGTTTCACTTGATATCTCTAAATGATGTAATCCGAAACACTTCTCCGGAGCCTAGCAAAGTACTTACTAAGAAAATTCTCAACTATGCATCCCATTCTACCTGTAAAGCTTCTGACTAGGTCATCCCCACAATCTGCCCCTACCAGTGATGCCTTGAGAAAATTAATTTTCAAGGCTTGCTGTAGGTTCACATCATCTCAAGAAATTAGTGATGTTTTGCACCACCTCAACCTCAACACTACAAAAATTGATCATGTCATCCACATACTGTTAATGACTTATGGTTGGACTTGTTGGGGTTCGGTGGCCATTTAAAGGCCTTATGAAAGCATGTATTGAAATTATTATAGTGATATGTTAGCTCTAGTGGGAGTGTGGTCCACATTAGAATATGAGGCATTACTAATGCTGGACTCGCATGAGCTTTGATTGGCTATGGCTCACAATGAAGTCTAAAACTGCAGTCTTGAGAATATTTTAGCACAATTGATAAGGGTTTCAATGTGGGGTTAGGAGTTGTGCCCAGGGCAGTTGGCCAGGGAATTGAATGTGACTCCTGTGTGTGACGTTTGATCGGAGATGATAACGATAAAAATCCTCATCATTTCCATTACATAGTGAGACTGTTTGAGAAAGTAAAGGGAGATCAGGTTTCTAAAAATAGAGTCCTTAGTATGATTGTTATATTCCTAACTTTATGGATCCAATTCCCATCAAATATTATTGCATATATTTAATTATATTCTAATTATATTTTAGATAATTAAAATAAATTTTTATACCTCTCTGGTTATTTTCATTTATTCAAAAATAATTTTCAAATAGAAAAAATCAATATTCTAAATTTATTTTAATCAAAGAGAAAAATATAATATTTAGTGGCTTTATAAAATTCATTTTAATTTATTAGAATTTTATTTAAGGTGTTGGAGCCAATGAGAATCATTAGGCCCACCACTAGTGGGGCAAGGGTCCCACCTCTTCTTTCTTCTTTACTATTTTGGAGGCTTGTTGGAAAATTTTAAGTGTTGTGTAGAGATTTTGATTGATTTCAAATTGAAAAGTATAAGAGATTAATAAAAATTGATTTAAATAAAGATAATATTTCTGTACACAATATTTGATGGGAATAGAGTTATGGAAACTAACAGATAATGGTTCCACTTTATTCCCTAACGGTGGCAGGCCCTAGCCTACACATGCTGACTTGTGCACATGTGTTGAGCTTTTTGTTTAGCCCTATCTCATGTCATGCTCTCTGCTGATTTTGTCTAGGATTCTCAAGTTATGAGACAAGTTTGGAGATCCTGTGTCCCATTGGTAGAGGAGACTTAGAATGAGATTTATGAAGTCCTTGGGGATAACCTGAGGTAAGATATGTGGTATTTTCTTTATTTATAGTTTTCTTTATGTAATTTTCAAATTCATGTTATGAATGAATTTTTTATTTTGATGGCAAGCAAGTGAGAGTCTATGACACTCTATTGGTTTTGTTTGGTTCATAGTATTTGGACACTTGTAAGTGATCTGGTTGGTAATATAAAAGAAAAATAGGAAAATTTTAATTTCTATACTTGCCAAGGTCACATAGTCCTACTCTCATCAGTATTAGAGCTAGGACTTCTT